GGTTGACATGTTGGTGTTTCAATGGTGATGCAACTCTACAGGGGCTTGTTTGAAATCACTTTATACTTTCAAACCAGCAACCCTACAGGGGCTTGTTTGAATTCATTTCATAGGTTCAAATCCAACAGAGGCTCAACCCTACACTAAATAATTTTTTAAATTTTTTTGTTCTAGTTATCTATAGGTTTGCATTTTTATTACCCATTTGATGGGTGTACATGTACTTGCATTTATTCTGATCAAGTTTGGACCAATTCTGAATTTTTAAAGTTGGTCAGAGGTCATATGGTTTGTTCAGGCTTTTTCATGATAATGACAATAATAGTAATAATAGCAATTTCCAGTAATACATGTACATCTAGCTATTATGGTTTAATATAATTGTAATTGACCCTATGTTTAAACATTGGTAGTTGTAATGCTCTTAACCATTGATTCTGAAAACAATGTACATGTATCATATACCATATATCATATGTCATAGTCTATTTCTCTCTGATTTTAGCATTCTTTGAAAAAATTTCTATGCTTACCTTGTCTTTATAAGTATCAGAGCACCCACAACTTAAATGTCACTGAATAATCCCTCTTTTTGTCAAGTTATTTTCTCTTTATTTCTGCATGTAAAGCATTGCAGTTGCTCATGCATGTTGGTTCCCCTTGTGATATCATCAATGACCGCGCCCCCTAACAGGAAGCAATGGCCACCAGCAACTTTAGCAAGCCCAAAGCAAGTCCAATGCAAGAATGCAACTAGGAATAGTCTATTTGGATAAAAATAAGCAATAATCTCAATTTTCATTTTCGCATGCAAGCCTCCCTTTAAAGAATACCGGTAGTTAAGATTTAAAAATTAAAACATTTGTCACAATAAGCTATTTGTGTCCTTTATAAAATACTGAAAATGAAAACCTCATTCTCGTGCCGTAAATACTACGCTACATTGCAAGGTGTTCATAATTACTTATGTAATAGCATTGAAAATGCAATGTAGAGTAGAATTTGCCTTGTGAGAGTAGAATTTTATTTTGGATTTTTATTGGTATGGATATAGTCAGTCGTTTAGAATCCTACTTACCCTTGTTTCCATTACTTTTTAAAGAATTTCCTCTAGAATCCTACTTAATCTTTTTTTATTCTTTATAATACTTCTGCTATAGTATCACATGAAATAAAGTTTCAACAAATAATAGTAAAGAAAATAACAT